CTGGAATAAAACCCCTCCTCTGTGCTGCATGGGAACCGGTTCTATAGTGCCTAAGTGTAGGAGAGAGTTTGTTTCCTGTCTTAAAAAGGTGCTTATGAGAGGTCCCTGAAGAGGGATGGGGAAGGGGAGTTGGCAGGCAAAAGTGAAGTGGATGGAGTACCCTGTGGAGATGATCTCCAAAACCCACTTGTCTGTAGTAACCGATTTGCAAGCAGGCTGGAAGTGGTAAAGAGTTGCTGAAAGGAGGCAGGCAGGTGAAACGCTGCAGTTGGTATGAAAAGGGACGGCAGCTCAGGACCTCCACCCCTCCATCAAAATTGGTGTTTTGAAGCAGAGGTTTGTGAGGTTGGGAAGTGGATGCTTTTTCTCTCTGGAACCTCTGTCTCTTGAATTGAGGTTCATATGATCTCTGGGCACCTGAGAATTGAGTGGGATCTCTGATGTCTGGGACCTATTAACTTTTCTCTTTTGGATGTGCGTATAGCTCTCCAGAGAACGTAAAGTGGTCCTCGACTGCTTACATGTGCAGAAACTTGTCTATAGTGTCAGTGAATAGTTTAGTGCCCTCAAAAGGAAGGTCTTCAACAGTATTCTGGACCTCCTTTGGAAATCCTGAGAGCTGAAGCCAGGAGGCCCTCTTCATAACTATTGATGTAGAAATCAAATGTTCGGCGGTATCAGCAGCGTTGAGAGAGGCCTGCAGAGATGTTCTGGTGAACAGCTGGCCTTCTGCACTAATTGCCTTCTGTGTTCTTCTGGTAGAAGCTCAATAAGGAGTTCAGCCTGGTAGTTGGTAATTCTGAATTGTAAAGTAGCTGACAAATACGACTTTCTACCAAGTAGTTGAGGTGCTTATGATCTTTATCATTGGGTGTAGATTTAGCATGGTGTTGCCCTTCATGTTCATTAACCTCCTCGAGCATCAAGGAGCTGGGAGAAGGATAAGAAAATAAAAATTCTGAGTCATTAGAAGGAACATAATATTTTTTGTCTGGTCTCTTGCATGTGGGTGGAGTTGAGGCCAGGCTGTGCCAGATAAGCTTTATAGGTCCAGGAAGACCTTGTTAACAGGCAGGGTGATGCGGGCAGATAAAACTGTATGAAAGATGTCAATCAACTTATGATGTGGTTCTTTAACTTTCTCAAGAGGGATCTGTGAAGAAACCACGACCCTCTTAATAAGGTCCTAAAATTGTTTAAAATCATAAGCCCAGGATGGTGGAGGTGGCATAATCGCTTCATCTTGGGATAAAGAAGAGATGTTGACTGATGCAGAGGTCTCTTCATCAGCCCTATCTTCTTGTTCCTCAGAGGTTCTTCCTGAAGTTTCTGTTTCCTAGAGAGAGAGGGTGATAAAAGTTGTCTCTCTCAGCCCTAGAGAATTGCTGACAGTAGGCCGCATAGGGGGCCCAGTATGGTCAAGGGGGTGGCGCATATGGCATAGGTGGAGGCATCTATGGGTGCTCATATCAGCAAGATGGTGGCTGTAGCTACATCGGTCATGAGTGAGATCAACTTCCTTAGAGACGTCTGGAAAAGCGCCTCTATGGGAATGGATTGGAGTGCTATGGCCAGATATTAGAGCGTCCAAAGCAAGATTTTCATCAGAATCCTCCTCTCCCAAGTCATGCTGAAGTGGTGGAGCAGCAGAAGAAACTTGAGGTACAATTCTCAGCACCAGATGCATGTCTGGGAATCTAGAGGGCTTCAGTACCAAGAACTGTGAGTCAGGTGTCTTGGACACAGCCAAGTCTTGCGGAAAATGAAACTCCCGCAGTACTGAGTGTGTTGTCCGTACCGTATCCATGACCTGAGCTGAAATAATGGTAGCTGAGGGAGTTGATAGTACTGTGAATCTTGAGTGGTCCAAGGGGAGTTGAGCCAGAGTGGTCTTTTTCGATAGCGAGTGTGAAGGGGTAGAGCCTTTTTTGCCGCCTTGCTCCTTACAGTACCAAGGGTCTATCAGAGCCTGACATTTTGGAGTCTCTAGATTTAACACTGTCCTTGGTACTGAGGAACCAGCAGTCTCATGCATACAGTGTCAGAGACTGATGGGAGCCAAAGTGGCTGGAGTCACTGTTGACCTCATCTTCTTTGAGGTAGATTCCCTTCTTGGAGAACTCGGGGCATGGTCTTTGGAAGTCTTATGACAGGAATCTTAGGCCTTCTTCTTAGATGCCCTTGAGGAGTATGGCTTGGAGATAGTAGAGGTGGCCAACTTATTCAGAGACTGACAAACTGTAGGGTCTCCTGGCCTGGATCAAAGTCTGGGATCAGCAAGCTCTCCATCCTAAGGAGTCAAAGTTTGATCTCCGTGTTTTTTCTGGCTCTAGATTTTAATGCTAGACTGAAGTTTCCCTTTGAGATTCCCCAAGGCAACAGATGCACCAGAAGTGTCAGTCACTCACCACGATTGTCTCCTGGAACAACGGGCAGCATTTGAAACCTGTCAGAGCCAGGCATGCCCTTCTAGGAGTGTAAAACTCCCAGGTAGGAAGAAACTATATGACAATTTTTTTTTGAAACAACTATAATAAACTACTGTAAGAGCTGAGGGGTCACGGCTAAAGTAAAATTCAACACAGACAATTGTGAAGGCTCCATCTCAGGCCAAGGCAGTTGAGAAGGAACTGAGGGCACTTTGCCTGCACAACACTATATAGCAACAATGCAGAGTACAAGACTGAGTAACCCGTATGTGTGGGCCAAACAGACACTATGAAATTTCTGATCAAGAGCACAGGAGCTGCAAACACACCTAGAATGGAGCACCCATAGGGACACTACTTGGAGAAGAATGGTTACTTATGCATGCTGACCTACTTATATGCGCACAGACTTACTATGATACATATCCGGCACCACGCTAATGTCGTGTACATATGTGCATAACCTATGAGCTTGTAATGTAATTTGTGGACTACCTGTGTCTGTATGCTAATTGATATTTAAGAGCTATGTGCTCATTTACAACATCTGTAGATCTATACTTGTACAGCTAATGCTGTACTTAATTGTGGGGCAGATTCTATAATCTTTATTCAAGTGGAGTATCACTTATGTGATTTGTGTTACTTACATCAATGGGACTATGCATATGCCTGCTACTTAGGAAGTGACAGAATATGTCCTGTGGCTCTAAGGTAAGCCTTTGTAATACAAGTACTTATAGAGAAAATAAAACCAAGTGATGTGTAAGACGACTACCGAAAATATTATCATTTAAGAATGGCTACCACCACATACCTCTGACTCAGTTCATCCAGAGGCCTGTAGTATGATACAATTAGGCTCTCATTTTCAGTGGGTGAAGATTTGGGAGTTCAGCAAGAAAAACCCCATGGAGGGGCCTAATTCTGCCATCCTTAAACTATGATCAGTCCCATTGATTTCAGAGAGCCTACTCTCAGAGCAAGGTGGTATTCAGTGCAAAGGTGGCAGAATCAGGGCCTAGTATCACAGGAACATAATTTGTGTGCAAATTAAGGAGGAAATGGATGAGATGTAGCTAAATTTAAAAAACCACCTTGCTGGAGTTAAAATAAAATTCTAGGACTCTTGCTTTTTAGATAAGGCCTTATGCTCCAAATTTCTTTTAAAATTAAGTTTTAATCTGAGAATTAAAAAGTCCTGCAGGATTTAGCACTTAAATTCCTGTATGCAAGGTGCTGAGCTTTCTTGCAAGATACTTTGAAGTCAATAAGAGGAGAGGGAGCTGTGCATCTCAAAGGAGTCTTAATAGCTGTGCCACGCTTGCTCTCTGAACTTGCCAGTTAAAGGTACGTCTCCATATCTTAGAATCTAGCTACGAGATCCTTTCTTGCAATTGTAGATGAGAAATCTCTGCTCCTGGAAAATACTGATTTTTAAATGTAGTTCAGCCACACAAGAGAGCCCAACTCAAAAATAAATTGATCCTGCTGCTATAAATCAGTCTCTGATTTATATTAGTATTTCTTATAGAAACAGTCATTCCTCTGTTAAAAGTAAAAAGAAAAGGAGTACTTGTGGCACCTTAGAGACTAACCAATTTATTTGAGCATGAGCTTTCGTGAGCTACAGCTCACTTCATTGGATGCAACTGATGAAGTGAGCTGTAGCTCACGAAAGCTCATGCTAGGGACCGAATGGCTAGGCAGCAGTTCTGCGGAGAAGGACCTAGGGGTGACAGTGGACGAGAAGCTGGATATGAGTCAGCAGTGTGCCCTTGTTGCCAAGAAGGCCAATGGCATTTTGGGAGGTGGTAGAATCTCCTTCCTGAGAGGTTTTTAAGGTCAGGCTTGACAAAGCCCAGGCTGGGATGATTTAACTGGGAATTGGTCCTGCTTCGAGCAGGGGGTTGGACTAGATGACCTTCAGGAGTCCCTTCCAACCCTGATATTCTATGATTCTATGCTCAAATAAATTGGTTAGTCTCTAAGGTGCCACAAGTACTCCTTTTCTTTTTGCGAATACAGACTAACATGGCTGTTACTCTGAAATCTGTTAAAAGTGTTAGAGCATTAACTATCCTCAGCTTTGAGTTAGGGCTCTTAATTGCTGGCTAAAACCGATTTTTGTGGGGATTACTACTATGAACATAAATGTTCCAAATTAAACTATATGGCATTTGTTATCAGGCAGACTAAAATGAGACACTGCTAATATGTTCAGACTATATCTAAGCTAAGTAAATAAATGGGAATTTTGCAAACTTATTGTACAAGTACTTTCCAGAGAACAACAAATATTTATAAAGCCACTTTCTAATTGTTTCTTTGCCATAGCCCTGAAACAAATTGATCTGAGTAGATCAAAATACACTGAAAAAAGTTGGTGTCCTACTTAGTTTCTCTGTTATAAAAGAAAGCTAAAAATAGACACTATACCCATAACAAGACACAAACATCTAACGCTGTTGCAGTTCACCAAACCGTTGAGTACTGTTGTCCTAAAAAACCTAGGATTATATAATATTTCTCTAAACCCAAACTGGTAATTTCTGTTTTGTTGTCTTAAGGTTATAGATGCAACCATTACAATTTTTATTATAAAAATAAATTTAAAACATTAAAATTGAAGTGTACAATTCCATAGAAAAATGAACTTTAGTTCACAGTTCTTTGTGTGGAAGGCTCAGAAGAGGCTAAGCCATGGAGGAGCCAGAGGAATATTCAGTATTTACTGTTGCTTCTTTTTCTTCATATCTTGGCGGTAATTCAGATGAAAGATGCAGAGTAGGTAAGATGTCTGAAGATGAACTGCTCCCAGGAATTGCATACGGCGGTTCGTACTCTCTAACGGAAACCATTCCTTGAACGTGTTCAAGTTGTGCCCTGTAAAACATTACACATTAGTACATTCCAATCTCATTTATACACTGAGCCAAATCATACTTGAGTTTTACACATGCACATGTAGTGTGGGTGAAGCCGGTCTTTAAGCTGCCTTTTTTTTTTTTAAATTGGTTCACCACAAATACACATCTGTTTGTTATACAGATGGCATGGTTTACTAGTATGGCCTTTCCGCATTTCCTAAAGAAGAGGTCTTTTTATATTCCCCTGACAACACTGCATAGAGCAGAATTGCCACTTGGGAATGGGAGAGATTTTCTCATCTCTTCTCCTTTGTTCCTTTGCCCCCCTGCCTTTTCATAATCTACTATGGCCCTACTTTCCCCTTCCTTATAATAGTTATAAGTTCTAAAACCCCAATTACTGAAATGACAATACTTTGTACTCTGAGATCCTCAGATGAAAGGTGACTTACAACTTTTAATTAAGCCTCCCAAAAGCCTTTGAAGTAGTTAAATAAATAGTAGTATTCTCATTTGACAGCCAGGGAAACGGAAGCAGAGAAAGGTCTCTGGATTGTTCAAGTTCACACAAGTCAGCAAGTCAAAAATAGAACACAGGCATCCAAGTCCCTTGCTGCAATCAAGGTAAGAATATTTTAAAATTAAGGTAAAATATCAGAAGGAAGAAATTCAGGGAGTTACTAGAAAATTTTGTAGGTGTCAGACATAAAATCAATGATGGTTAAGAGAGTGTTTTCCTAGCTACACTTCAACCCATGAGTTAAACATCGCAGATTCTAGAAAATAAACATGAAGACTATCTTACCCATTATTTACAATACTGTCGTACGAGGGAGGATTTTCACTCATAGGCAGCTCTGTGGCAAGTGGCTTATGAGTTACATGTGGTGATAGAGAGTCAGCAAAATAAGGTGGTGGGAGGGGTGGGAATGTCATTACAGCATCACCTAAAGAGAAAAAAATTAATTAGTGACATGAAAATTCAACTCATTTCCTGATCCTCATTGTAACCTAAGAGATATTCATACTAGTGTAGTATAGTATTTGTGCTTATCTTCTTTATAGATACAGGCACCATGTTCATGCATACTTTAATTGTTCTGACATTCCTTGGTGTAGAGGACAATTTTATGTACACATTCTGGGAGGATTTTTACAATGTAAGAGATTCATCTTACTAAAAAAAAAAGCAGCCATAAAAAAAAGTTCCATCTCGCTAAAGGACACAAATCCCTTTACTGTTGACTGCAGAACCTACGAGCAGACAGGCTCACGTGTGTTCTCTAAATACAGAGCAAGAGCTATTAGCACACTTTCTATCTGAGATTTTATACCATGCTCATCACTATAGTACGCATGTGCCTAGTTCTCCGTGCCTGCCTAAAATGTTGGTTTTATAAAGTACTGTGCATACCTGTAACGATGCTATAAATAAAAATGTTCAATGCTCTGCTTAACAATTCATATTGGTTTAATTTTTTCTTCAAATGTGCTGTATTTCCTCTGTTAACAAATTATCAGGAAGTTCCTTGCTTTCTAAGATTTATATGTTCTTAAGTGCTTATTTATACAAAGAGGTAATAACTGCACTTATACCATTACTATATCTTGCAACTTGATTGCCTGTTAAGGAGCAACATGCCATTATTAAATGAAATGATTTTATAACTGTCGGCACAAATGGTGATTTCTGATAGTTACAATTTCAGAACAATCAAACCAGTGTACCTATAGTTGCATAACTAATAAAGACATTTTAGATAACATTTTCATAGTTGAAGGCACAATACTAATAGAATTCATATTATAAGAAAGCAGTACACGTTATATACTAAACTGTAATTATGCAGTGCTTAATCTGAACACTAATTAGTGATAATGTTATGAAGTTGGACAATGAGTATGGTCTCTCTTATTCAGAACTTTGCATTTTGTGGGGGTTTTAGTGTTTTTAATGGACAGCCAACAGTCAGCTAGTTCTCTTAATTAAACAGCTGCAACAACTACTTCCCCTCTGCCCACTCCACTTTTTGTGTCTTTGCCTCTTAAGTTTTCTATGTAAAACTCAACCTCTGTTCTTGCAAGGTGTTTCAATCTTTTGATCCATCCATCACCTCCCCAAAAATCATAGTGTTTAGGCAACACCTGCCTACCCAACATTAACATTGATGTTATTACATGAACTTGCTTTGCACACAGGGTGCTCCTCATATATTTGTTTTGTCAGCTTATTCTGAAAGTAGTGCACTTAAGGAAGACAACAGAATTTAGATCTTTTCAAACAGGTTGTAGGAGAGGAAGTGATTGTTGGCTTACTAAACACACACACAAGGAGCATCTTGCAAAGACAGTTCATAAAGCAAATTAATACTGAAGTTGAGCAGGGCATGTGTTGCCAAATACAATGATTCTGGTAAAGTGATGGAACCAACAGACTTGCGCACCATGATCCTGCAGCAATCCACATTTTAAGTCTATGCTTGATCCTACAGTGTTTGTATATTTTACTTTTCTTAGAACTCTCCACATATAAGAGTGTGTGTACTAGTTTTGCTTTCTCCCCTTCAAAGACTATTTTCTTAAATTGCAATTCTTCTACAACTCTCTCACTCAACTCTACAACTTCTACCCCGATATCTGGTGTCAGCCTCTCAAACCTTCACTTTTTCCTATTAAGCATCAGGTTAAATAGTCCTTATGTCAGGATGACGAAGGCAGGATTTTGTGTGCAATGGACTTCAGTTCTGATCAATCAGGTAGCAGTTGAGCAGCATAGTGGTTAATTTGTCACCCATTCCTTCTGACCACTAAAAATGTAGTTTAAAACTTACAAACCGTATTCATCCAGAATTAAAATGGTGACACAAACAGTACAAGCAGTACCCTCTGCATCTGAATCATTGCAGTCCTATTTCAGGGGACAAGGTAACAGGCCAGAATTCAAAGCTAAACTGCATTTTCAATATAGTAATAAAAAAAGCCATGACACCTACAATTTACAATGCCTATTCCATTCTCTGGAAAAGGAAGTAGGATTGGAATTACTTATGCCAGATAGTGTGATTTCTTCCACATTTGCCTTTGGAGGTTTTTTGTAAGTCAAAAGGCAGTTTGCCCCTGAAGAAAGAAGACTGAATTAACTACAATTTGAATGTTTCAGATGTAAAAGGCAACATGTTTCTCATTTGGTATGTTAAACCACACACACAAAATAGGAACTAGCGTACAGGTCAGTAAAACTAGCTTTCAAATTTAAAGTATATGCAAATCATTTACATACCTGCTGTAACTTGAAATGATTCTGGACTCTGAGGCTGTTCTCCATTTTCAGAGGATTCTTGGCTGAGATTTAAATTGGTTTTCTTTTTAATATGAGCTATTACGAAGAAACTTAATCCAATAAGCACAATCAAAGGACCCATGATTTGAAGAGGCAGAAATCCACAGCCTGAGAGTTCAACATCAGAAGTGCTGGTTTGATTATACTGTAGGCTGTGCCTTCCTGGGCTACATCCAGGAACCCAAATGCCCAGGAAACTAATTAGCACTCCACTAGTTAAAAACAAAAACCCAAAGATAAGAAACTGGGCAACCTGACAGTTCCCTTGACAAAAAATGAGGCTGTACACCTGCTCACCTTGCATCTGTCTCTGACTTAGGTACAGCCTAGCTCTTGATTGTGCCAATAAGACACAAACTAATCCAACAACAACAACCACAGGCCCAGCAATCTTAAGGGCCCTGTTGCAATCACTGAAGGTTCCAGATGGGCAAGTCTGTAAAATAAAGACTGAAAGCAGAAATCCAGTGCATAGCAATGCAACTCCAAAAACAAAAAGGAAAAAAAACTTCCTATGATGTCCATTATTTCCTTCCCCACCAGGTCTGGAAACAGCAACTGCACACATTACAAAAACGTCTCTTCATGCAAAGGAGAAATATATCGTCTCCTGATAGTGTTCAGAGAGAAAGAAAACTGCTGCAGACCTGTGAACACAAATATATAAACTGAAATGAGAGAATATGTAGGTAACTACATTGTGTACTTTTCTTCTGCACTTATTACTCAGCCTATCCAATGGTTTAAAGCCAGTATATCCCCAAACAATTTCATTTTAGAATAAAAGCTTCATGGAAATGGACATGGGTTATAAGACAGATAAAGGGAGATCACTGACTTAATATTTATACCCAAAGCAATTGTAATAGCTCAGTAAATAAAAGATTATTATTAAGGGAACAATTAATAATATTTATCCAATTCTAGTTCAAAATGAGGTCACTCTGTGAGGGATGTACCTTAAAAGAAAAAAATCACCAAGTTTCCCTCCAACCTGCAGAAGCCCCTGAGGTAGGGGCTGATGAGACACACTTAGAAAGTCATCGGTATAAGAAAGGGAGACATAATGAGAAGGGAGGGTTGGGAGAAAGTCCGGCCTTTGTGGGCAACTAGGGAGCTGAACATCACACTGAGGATTGGAGCTATCATTCAAGAGAAAGAATTGGGACGGAATGCAGGGGTGGTCCTTCCCCGCTTGCTAGAAGAGAGCTCTGATTGGAGGGAATTTTGCTGGGGATAGAGGACAATTTTTGAGGGATAGAGGACATTTACCAATAAAGCTTCAAATGTATTACCTACTTAAAGCATGTGGATTTGTTGCTCCTCCTTCAGCCAGCTGACAGACATGTCAGCTCTTTTCCCTAAAAGTATTTCCTGTCCCAATATAACTGAAGGAGCTAGGACTTTTCTTTTAGCATCGTCCATAGGGTCGGCCTGGGCACCCCCTGGAGTCATGCCTTTATGGCACCCAATATAGAGCCCTGCCAACCCCTCACCCCCTCAGTTCCTTCCCACCACCAGTGATGGCTAGCTGGAACAACTGTTGCTCTTGCTTTGCAAGCGCGTTTGACAGTGTCCTCTTCACTTTTCTTTCTTAAATAGTTGTAAATAGTTCATTAGTTATTAGTTACAGCTAGTAGGTAGTTGGGGGGGGGCCCCCCCAAGAGTCACGATAACATTTCCCCCCAGTTCTGGGGTATGCCCTGGTCTCCAGTGTTCAAACTCTGGAGGACTGTGGCAAGTTTATGCTGAAGAGTGACCCACACTCTTCTTGTCTACGGTGCCTTGGGGAGAGGCACCAAAAGGACAAGTGCAGGATCTGCAAGGGTTTTTGCCCTAGGACCCTTAAAAGACAGGGACCAAAAGACTCAAGATCCTCCTAATGGAAGCAGCACTTTGACCGCATTCTGACCTGGGATCTGCAGAGCTCACGCCGAGCACTTCCATGTCAGTCCGAAGTGATCTGGCCCCGACAGTGCGCAAGCTGGTGTGGAGCAAGGACTCTAAGGACTCCTGGCACCGCCATGGCGCCGCACATAAGAAACCCTCTGCAGTGTGGCACCGTGCTCAGTGCCACAAAGGAAGAAAAGGCCAGATAGGGGTCGCTCTCCCCCTTTAAAGACCAAGGGACCTGAAGCATCAAAGCACACCTTGAGCCAGGCAGCTTTGTCTCTCCAGCCTTCCAGGATCTCGTCGACTCCTGCCCCATCTGGGGTTCAGTCGAGTCTGAACCCTCAACGGTCCCTGGACTGCCAAGGTCATCACCTCCATCTCCCCTTGACTCCTGAGGCATTTGAGGCACCCAGTGACCTTATACGCCTCACTGCGCCGTCCTCCCAGCAGAGGAGAGACAAGTCACCGATGACTGCATGGCCCGAAGTCCAATTAAGGGATAAACCCAGCAATGATGGCGTGCTGATCCCTATCTCCAGTGCACTTCTCTCTGGCATGGCCCACCCATACGGAGGAGCTGCACTAGTCCCCGACCTCTTGGCACTGCTTTCCAGAGGCCCAGAGTACTAATCCTCCGTGGTCCTCCTACTCAAAGACCTTGGAATCGGAATCCTATCGGTCAGATAGGACCAGGAGGTCCAGATCCCACCATGACCACCCGCCCTACCCGGTACCATGGTCTCCGCAGTGGCAACCATCTATGCAGTGGCCCTTTTGGACACCCTGGGTGTATCACCAGTGCCAGGGACAGGTCCAGTACCCAAGGTCCAGGTCAGCATCGGTGTCCTCCTTCCTCCCCGCAGGCACCACTGGGTCCACTGACAGCACCACCACCGATAGAAGCGCCACCAACACTGCTGTTGTCACCTACAGCTCTGGTGCCGACCTGCCAATCAGCGGCACTGCTGGCAGCCGCAGCATTGGTACCACTGGCATCAACGATATCGGCACCGCCGGAATCAACATCTTCGGTGCTGTCTGCTTCGGCACCGATTTTTTGGCCCCCAGGAGCCCTGGCACCACAAGCTCTGGAATACCGCATGCCGCGAGACCCATGGGGCGCTGAGGGGTGAGCAGGGCCTGCTGCTAGGCCTCTCCTCCTCATCCTCCCCAGATGAAGTGGTGGCAGGGACGGTGACGGCCCCAGCCCTGGAGGATATCAGGGTCATCCAGCAGCTCCTACGTCATGCTGCCCAGAACCTGGGCATACAGGTGGAGGAGGTCATGGAGGAATCCAACCCAGACATCGACATTCTCGCACTCTCTGGTCCCTCCCACATCACCTTGCCCTTAATAAGGATGATTTCAGAGACAACAAAAACCCTATGGCAGACCCCTGCATCTCTGGTCCCTACAGCCAAGAGGAATGAGAGGTGGTACTTTGTCCTTTTTAAGGGATACAAACACTTATACACCCACCCACCCCCCGACTCCCTCGTGGTTGATGTGGCCAATAAGCGAGAGTGCCAGGGCTTCCGGGGACCCTCCCCTAAAAACAGGGAGGCAGTGGTGGAAGAGGGAAAACTGGTCTCCCGAGCTTTCCTGCAGGTGGCATTGGATGCAGCAGATGCAGCCTCGTGTAGTATGGCAATGGGGGTTGTAATGAGGAGAGGTTCCTGGTTGCAAGTCTCTGGTCTGCCCCATGAGGTCCAACAAACAATCCAGGACCTCCCCTTTGAGGGTTCGGCCCTTTTTGCCGATAAGATGGATAAAAGACTCCATAGTCTAAAAGACTCCAGGGCCACCCTTAGATCTTTGGGCTCCATACACTGGCCACCCAACACAGGCACTTCTGGCCACAAGCTCCCTCTAGGTTCTACCAGCCTCAGAACTGCCAGGACACTCCTTGTAGGAGGAACAAGAGTTGCAGAAGGAGGCAACACCCCTCCTCAGGCCAGGGCTCACGCCAGCCCAAGCCAGTGCCTGGCCCCAGACCACCCTTTTGAAAGTGCGGTTGAGGACGGTGCACCAGTACTGCAGCTGGATCCAACCTCTCTTAGCTTTTTGTCCCAACTATCCCCTTTCTACTGTGCATGGTCCCGTATCACCTCGGACCGCTGGGTGCTCTGCACAGGAGAGAGGGGATATGCCATCGAATTCTGGGCCTTTCCACCCACCTTCACCATCCCTCTTCCGGGATCCCTCTAATGAGCAACTTCTTATACAGGAAGTGCACTCACTCCTCTCGGTAGGGGCAGTGGAAGAGGTTCCTCAGGAGCAAAGGGACAAGGGCTTCTACTCTTGGTAGAAGAGCCAAGGGTGGTCTCAGGCCCATCTTGGACCTGCGGAAACTCAACAAAGTTCATCAAGAAACTCAGGTTCCGCATGGTCTCTTTGGCCTCCATTATCCCATCATTGGATCCAGGAAACTGGTATGCCGCCCTCGATTTGAAGGATGCAGACTTTCACAAAGCGGTAATTCCACCCCATAGAAGATACCTCAGGTTTGTGGTGAACAACAGCCACTATCAGTTTACTGTCCTCTCATTTGGCCTGTCAGCAGCACCTTGGGTGTTTACCAAGTGCATGATAGTCATTGCGGCGTTCCTGCACAAGCAAGAGGTAGAGGTGTTCCCATACCTCGACGACTGGCTGATCAAAGGCCACTCCAGACCTCAAGTGGAATAGCAGGTCAGCTTCATAAGAAGGACGTTCATTGAACTGGGTTTCCTTCTAAACGAGGCCAAATCAACACTGTCCCTGGTGCAGAGGATAGAGTTTATAAGGGCAATGTTAGACTCAACTCAAGCCAGGGTATACCTCCCAGAAGCCAGATTTCAGTCACTGGGCGACAAATACGGGGCCTCAGGCAGTTCCCCACCACTACAGCAAGGAACTGCCTGAAACTTTTGGGGCATATGGCCGCTTGTACCTACATAGTACAGCATGCCAGACTCAGGCTTCGCCCGCTCCAGTCATGGCTAGCGTCAGTATATCGACCAGCTCAGGATGCTTTGGACAGCACCCAATACTAGACTCCCTCCTGTGGTCGCTTGACCCACAGGTAGTATGTGCAGTAGTCTCCTTCACCGGCCCCCAGCCATCCCTCTCATTAGAGACAGATGAGTCAGATCTCGGATGGGGGGCACATTTGGGAGACCTCAGGACGCAAGGTCTCTGGTCTCAGGCAGATCTCGCTCTGCATATCAATGTCAGAGAACTGAGAAAGCGGCAAAGAGTCCTGTGGCACCTTATAGACTAACAGACGTTTTGGAGCATTAGCTTTTGTGGGTGAATACCCACTTCGTCGGATGCATGTGAACTGAGAGAACTGAGAGTGGCATGCCAGGCTTTCAGAGTCCATATATCAGGCAGATGTGTATCCGTCCTCACGGACAACACCATGGCGATGTTTTATATCAACAAACAGGAGTGCACGCTCCTCTCCCCTGTGTCAGGAAGTCCTCATGCTGTGGGACTTCTATGTAGCGCACTCAATACACCTGCAAGCATCATATCTCCCTGGGATACAGAACAAACTGGTGGACAGTCTCAGCCACTCTTTTCATGGCCACGAGTGGTCCCTCTGGCCGGACATAGGCAAGATCAATCTTCCAACAATAGGGCTTTCCCCAAATAGACCTGTTTGCCACACAACGCAACAGGAAGTGTCAGCTATTCTGCTTGTTCCTGAATCACAGCCCAGGCTTGATCGTGGATCCGTTCCTACTTCCATGGAGAGGCCATCTCCTAT